GGCTAAGGGTGGGCACCCTCACTTATCTGTAAGATGATAAGCACACAGGGGCAGCACTCAGGGCAGAGGTAAATGCCACAGCCCCAGGACTCCACGTGCCGTCTAAGGGTGGGCACCCTCACTGACCCCGGAGATGACAGGGACACAGGGAGGCAGGCACCCACCTCCTCCATCAGGTCTTCAGGGCCTTGTCCCTCCAGCAGGCGAATCTTGTCTTCCAGGCACTTTCTCAAAAGGTCTGCCCTGCTCCTCCCCTTGGCTCGCTGCTTCTTCCCTCTAGACGGCTGCTGGGGGACAGAAGAGAGTCCAGCACGGTGACCAGCAAGTCCAGGCCACTACCCTGGAGAGAAGCGTCCGTGCCCACAGACCACAAGGCTCTGCCCCACGGGGGACCTGCGCTATGGGAAAAACTCAGCCCTGGGGTCTCTCGTCCTCACCAGCATCCATGGGCTCCTCCCCGGAAAGAGGGGGGCAGGCAGTCTAGGGGTCCCTGAGCTTTTGAGTCAAATGGGTCACCTGACACTAGATCCCTCCACTCCCACCAACCTCCGAACAGGAGACACGCAGGCGAGGTCTCTGCTTGTGAAACACACACACCACTAGGAAAAACAAGGACGATAGAAGAGAGCCCTAAAAACTCCACTACAAACTCAAAGGTTGGTGGTTCAAACTCACCCAGAGGTGCCTCGGAAGACAGGCCTGGTGATCAGTTTCTCAAAGGTCACAGAATTGAAAACACTAGGAGGCAGCTCTGGTCTGCTCACGTGATGGCCAGGCATCAGAACAGACGTTTAAGCCACCAGCATATCATGTTATTGTTATTATGTACCAGCAAGTGGGAACTGACCCATAGCTGACCCTCCAGCGAGTTTTCAGAGGCAGTAAATCCCACAGGAGCTGGTGGATTCGAAGCACATACCTTTGCACTGGCAGCTCAGTTTCTTACCTCTAAGCCACAAGCGCTCCCTAACATAAGCATGCCTCATTTGGTTGTTACATCTGTCACGTTACATAAATGACATTCTTGCTGGAACCCTCGGGAAAACGTGCCCATTACTATGTGATGATCGCAGCCCGGTGTCCCTCCTACCTGCAGCTCAGGGGCGGCGAGGGCCTGGTCCAGTTTCTGGAACTCTGCTTCCCGCCAGGCAGCCTGGCAATGATGCAGCAGGACCCGGGCCCGGATTTTGGGCAGGGCCACACTTCGGTCTATCTGGGTAAAGCAGCCCTGTGCCTCCTGGTTCATTCTGAGCAGCTCTTCCTCGGACAGGGAGCTGGGTGCCACACAGAGCTGCCTGGGGAGGGAGACACAGGAATGGAGAGGGAGTCCTGGGGGGACAGGGAGCCAGGTGCCATAAACAGATGCCTGGGGAGGGAGACACAGGAA